TATAATTTTTAATTCTAAAAATAAATTATTTTTAAAATAATTCTAAATTTCTATTTTCCTTTTGAAATGATTACTTAAAATATTGAAAGAAATATTAAAACGAAATTTAAGTTATAATTGAGGGGTCAAATAAAACATTTCTTATTAATTTTGCATATCACGTCACACCATTAACAATATTTCACGTCGCTATCTATTTTTTAATAAAACCTGAAATTTATAAATTTTATAAATTCAATGATAAATGAAATCATTTTAATAAATTTAATGATAATTTGTGAATTTTACCATATTTTATATTAATGATACATATCGATATGCATCATTAATAGTATACATCAGTGTGTATCACTCGCTCTAGAATTATCCATCTTATCAATAATTTATATATATAATTTGGAAATAGAAGAACATATGACAAATATTGAATTTGCAACTTATATTTTCAAGAGATTATTTCTTAATTATAATTACCACATAAATTTGATCAAGTTTTGGGCAATTTTGTATTTAAAAACTCAAATAACTAATTATTTAAAGAAATAGGGTACTCCATGTTGACGAAAAAGGGTAAAGAAAACAAAAGAACACGAGAATTTTACGAGGTTCGGTAATGTGCTTACGTCCTCGGTGCCTAGGCGGCGCTAGAAGTTTTATTCAATGATATTTTAGGTCTAGGTTAAATCTCTATTTATAATAGAAAACCCAGGTACATAATTACAAAATCAACCATGTACCGTACCGCGGGGCGAAGCCCCCGCACCCCCAACCCACATAATTCGTAACCCCACAACGAGACTTTCTTCGCAACTGGATCCCAGAACTTGAATCCTTTAACACCTTTCTTGTAACCCAGAAAAATACACTCCTTCGATTTTGCATCAAGTTTGGATCTCTCATCAGCAGGTACATGCACATAAGCAGGACAATCAAAAATCTGTAAGTTATCAAAACTAACATCATGACCAGTCCATACCTCTTCTGCAACTTTCCCAGCCAGCGATACCTTTGGCGATCTGTTGATAAGGTAACACGCCATGTTAACAGCCTCAGCCCAGAAGTGTTTGGGAAGCCCCGTATTCAACCGCAAACATCCGGCTCTTTCATTCAACGACCTGTTCATTCGTTCTGCAACACCATTCTGTTGTGGTGTCTTGCGCACTGTAAAATGCCTCTGAATCCCATGCTCCTTACAGAATTGTAGGAACTGTGAATCTGTGTACTCCGTACCATTGTCAGACCGCAAACACTTGATTTTTCGTCCTGTTTGGTTTTCTACCTCAGCTTTCCACAGCTTGAACTTCTCAAAACTTCAGATTTCTGTTTCAAAAATACACCCAAACTTCCCGTGAAAAATCATCAATAAAAGTAACATAGTACCTAGATCCACCCAAAGACGATGTCGTGGAAGGCCCCATACATCAGAATGACATAATCAAGAATCCCTTGAGTTGTGTGCTTCGCAATCTTGAAACGGACTTTAGTCTGTTTACCAAGAACAAACTTGTAAAAATCGAGCTTACAACTTTTGACACCATGCAACAAGTTTCTCTTGTGTAATTCTGCCATACCACGTTCACTAAGATGAGCAAGGCGCATATGCCACAATTTTGTCGTATCATCACAGGACTCAACAGAGTGAACTCCACCTGCAACGGTACTCCCTAACAATCTGTAGATATTCCCTGCAGTCATCTTGCCTTTCATCATAGTCAATGCTCCTTTAACAATCCAAATGGTTTCCCTATCCTCGTCAGCCTTAGGGATAAAACCATTCTTGTGCAAAGTGCCCAAGGAAATCAAATTCTTCTTCAAGTCTGGGATATGTCGAACACCACTCAACGTCCGAACGGAGCAATCGTACATCTTAATTCTGACATCACCAATACCAACAATATTGCAACATCGATCATCACCCAAATCAACCGAACCAGAATTAACTGGCTTGTATGTCGAAAACCATTCCCTATTTGGCGTGATGTGATAAGAACATCCAGAATCAAGAATCCAAGCATCCGTCAATTTTGTCGTTGAAATAGAAAGCATATCACCCTCACTGCAATCAGAATTATCATCCTCGACCATGTTCACAGACTTGGATGAGCCATCACGCTTCTCATCAGTCTGCTTTTTCAACTTCGGACAGTCTCGCTTCATATGTCCCGCCTCCTTGCACTTGTAACAGTGAATCGTCTTCTTATCCCTGGATTTGGATCTGGAATTCCGCTTCCCGGACCCTGCCTTCTCTGGCTTCCGTCCACGATCTCGATTACCCTTGACATATAAGCTATCGGCTTGAGAACTTTCCCCTGCATTCTGCTTCCGCTGGTTGTGAGCCAACAAGGCTGCAGTAATCTCCTCAACGTTGATAGTCTCTTTCCCATATGTAAGAGTAGTCACCATGTGTTCGTAAGAGGGAGGCAACGAACACAACAGAATCATCGCTCTGTCTTCATCCTCAATTTTCACATCAAGTCGAGCCAGATCAGAAACGATTTGATTGAAGACATTCACGTGTTGCACCAAATCGTGATCGTCCTGCATCTTCAGCCCATACAGCCGCTGCTTCAGATACAGTTTTGACGTTAAGGATTTGGACATAAACTGACTTTCCAACTTCCTCCAAATTTTGTCTGGAGACGATAGATGCATGACGTGATACATGACCTCGTCCGCCAAGCATAATCGTATGGTTCCTGCTGCTCGCTGCTGCAATTCTTCCCAATCTTCCTCATCCATCGACGTCGGCTTTGTAGGTCGCAAAGCCTTCAAGATCCCTTGCTGCGCCAAAAGATCCTTCACCCTCGTTTGCCATAATCTGAAGTTACCTTGACCATCGAATTTCGCGACTTCGAATTTTGCTCCTGATATCTGATACCAATTATTGACGAAAACGGGTAAAGAAAACAAAAGAACACCAGAATTTTACGAGGTTCGGCAATGTGCTTACGTCCTCGGTGCCTAGGCGGCGCTAGAAGTTTTATTCAATGATCTTTTAGGTCTAGGTTACATCTCTATTTATAATAGAAAACCCTGGTACATAATTACAAAATCAACCCTGTACCATACCGCGGGGGCGTAACCGCCGTACCCCCAACCCACATAATTCGTAACCCCACAACGAGACTTTCTTTGTAAGGACAGTTGATGTTCGCTGCGTTACCTTCGCTCACTCCGCTCCATCTCATGTCCTCTTTACTGGTATATTTATGACCCATACCTAACACTCCATAAATTATTTGGAAGAATACCATCAAATCGTCCACATCGAACGACCTCGCGGCCTGCAAATCGCGTGTTAAATGCTCGCACCGTCCAACACACAAGATATATCTAATGTGGGCACACTTTCCTAGTAAGCCAATAAAATAATTGGATAAAATGACCTCCTGCATTGCGAATCGCGAGATAGCCTTTATTATCCAAAATATCGCGATATTTATGGGGGACCTCGCGGCCTACAAAGCGTGAGGACAATAGATTCCCTACCCTCCCTTTAGTGTCCATAGCTTTGTTCGGATACTATTTTCGGGTGGGAAACTAAATTTTTTTAAAAAAAATTTAATTATAAACGTGTAGTGTTGCAATTTATCTATTAGGTGACTATAATACCAACATATATAAGACATTTTAAATGGTGTAAAAATGACGTTGAAAATGGTTAGAAATCATGGTTTTATGAAGGAAGAATAAAAAATGATTTGATAGACATATTGGAGAGTTATTGTTGGCTTGTAAATGTGAGTAATATGTATTGTTAATTAAAAAATAAATAATGCAAAAAAACCCATTTAATTGATACGTGGGCCTAAGCGATTGGGACATTTATTCTTCGTGTGTCTAGGATTCCTACATATAGAGCATAATTTCGGTTATCTGATTCTTTCTTGATGTTCAACCAAATCCTAGTCATAAAAAATTTGGGTTGACCGTGGACGACTGGTTTTTTTCGTCGTAGTTCATAATCTGGTCGTATTGTAGGTTCATCATCATCTTTATTCGGATCTCATTCATTTCCAATTGGAGGGAACTCGTATTCATAAACCTTGAATATATTTTCAAGCAAGTAAACTCGATCAACAAATCTCATATAGGGTATCTTAACAGAAGAAGCAACAACAATGGTGTGCGCACACATGTATTTGAAAGTTTGGAAGAATCTGCATTGGCATGTTTTTTTCTCATAAATTAACCATGTATGTGTTGTGTTGTATGCCTTCCAATGGCCTTGTAAATTCTAATACACGTAATAATGACATTTCGCGAGATAAGCATATGGCACTCGTCGCGTTGAAATGGTGTTGGAATGTTTGTAATTTTCTAAGGAGATTTAGGTGGATTTGGTAGCCACCTGCCATCTAATCAGCTGCTTGTCTTTCCAAGGTTGCGAAAAGGGTTGTCAATCGATAATATGTTGCTTTGACAACAGACGTGATAGACAAATGGCGCACTTCCTTTAGTGATGAATTTATTGTCTCAGCCAAGTTCGTTGTCATATGACCATACCGTCTACCCCCATCAAATGATCGAAGTCATTTCTCCTTTGGGATTCAAGCAAAGTAGTTGAAGCCCTCAGAATTCATGTGTCTCAGTTCCTGCATCAGGTCCTCATAGTCACGTACGGACTGTGTGTAACCTATCAATAAAAAGTGGAACAATTAATTTGAAATAATTTTTGTAAAGATATGGTAAATCAAAAAGGGTGAAAGACGTATCCATTTGAAGCACCATTTGACACTCATATTGACTCTTGAACTTCTACAAATAGTTTGCGGAAATATATCGTAAACAGTACAGGTGATAAATATTGGGGGGTTGGCAAGACGGGCCCATACGTTGGAGTTCATATTTGATACTAGTGCCTCTGTCAGAAATAAGACAAATCTCATATTCTATATCCTGCATCACATGTGATAGAACATATGTTTGTAAGTTCGTAAGGAAGAATTCCCAAGAGTTGATATCTTCCTTTTCGACAATTGCGAAGGCGATGAGAATAGTTTTTTTATTGTCGTTTTGTGCAACAGTCTTGTATGTTATTGGTACCACCATATATAATCGTATGTCGTGTTGTGGTCGAAGATGGGTTGAGTCATGGGCATCCTCTCGAATCTTCGAACTCCACTCATTCAGATACACTGCATTATGGTATGCCCAATTAATTTTCATCTTCCCTTGTCACGTCAATCGATGTAACTCATCCAAGCAATGTGGATGTGGTGGAATCGATTGGACACAATTAAATTGTCGAAGAACGCACTTGGTAGGATGTCACTCGACTATCTCATACAAGATAAATGGGACTGACACGATGTACACAGGCATATTAGTCACCCGAATCTCATGCGGTATACAATCAACAATAGATGCATCGCAGTAAGGCGTCCACAGGAACTGTAAAATTAAAATTACATAACTTTGTTAGCTAAAAACCTCAAATAAATTAAATTATTCTAAATTTATAAGATAAAAGTTAAAGGAAAATATTTTATTACCTGATGTCCAAACTTATCGATCAAAAGTCTTAAGTCTCGTTGATGTGTTGGTAAGTAGGCGTGAGAGGTTTCATCAGTCCACCTATCATTAATACAATAACATTGTATTATTTGTTAGTAACATTATAAAAATAGATAAAAATTATTTTTTTACCTCTTAAGTAATGGAAATTCATATGGGACATGTCTTTTAAGGATCGGAAATAAAATGAAATTCGGATCCAGATCCACGAATGTAACAACAATAAACACCCTCCAATGACATTTTCGTCGAATCTACAGCTCTACAAAGCTGTCGGAACAAAAATGTCAAAATTGTCGACCCCCAACTTATATTTCTTGAATCACTCAAATTTTGTAAATGATTCAACCACATCAGATGTACCTTATTTCGGAATTTGTCTGGCATTAAAATCCTCCAATAACTCTTAGTATATGCGCACGAGCAAATCGCTTCAAAAAATAATATAACTACTTAATTTCCAAAAAATTAAATAAATAAATTGAAATGTTAATAAATGTTAATAGATAAAAATAATTATATTTACCTCTTTCACTTTAATGCTCCGCATTCTGGGGTAGGTTCTTAAAATTTTCATCCAAAGATTTAATTTTTATTTTTTCACCATCGCGTGCATCATCAAGCAAATCAATTCCGAACAATATCTCACATACGTTTCTAGGGGCGCTGACAACACCAGTAATAACTATTTCATCAATAGGCAGTCCCAGGTGAAATGCAACATTTTACAAGGTAATAGTTGTCTCGCCACACGGTAAATGAAATGTGTCCATCTCCAGTCTCCATCTTTCCACCAACGCATTTATAAGTGGATGATGTAACTTCACACCGTCACTAGTTATACTATTGATATATCTAAAACACGCTAAATGTAAATAGTTAATAATATTCGCATTGGTGGTGTCACGATTTATATGACACTCTAATACACATTCATATCCCTATGAAATATAAATATTAAAAAATTATTTAAATATCAAAACAAATAAACTAAATCGATAAATAAATAAATAGTAAAAATTAAAAAAAATTATTAATTTACCTCATCATTTTACCTCCAATAATCGAATTTGTGACTTTGATCATGTCTTAATAGACTCGTTGCCAAGATATGAAATCTTTGAATACATGACAAGGATGGGTGTGGTGATGAATATGAGTGGATGGTCCTATTTATAGCCTTTCTCGCACCCGAAGAAGCGCGGTTTTAAATGCAACTCGCATCTTGCAAGATGCGAGTTACGTTGAAAACACGCAAAATTTATTTCGTTCCCAGTACCTCGCGATTTGCAAGACACGAAATTGTTACCAAATTTTATCTTTTAAATTTTAAAATTTATTATAATTATAATATTATTAATTATTTATTATATTTAATATTTTACGCATATAATTTTTCATTATTTGAAAGTTTACAAAATATATTATAATTATTATTTATAAAATATCTATTTTAATTACTATATTTATATATTATTATTTTAATTATTTATTATATTTAATAAATAATATTGTTAATTATTATTATTATTATTATTATATTTATTTATTATATTCATTTAATTTTTACGTTTCAAATTTGGTTGCTATACGGAATTCGAAATAACCTCGCGCTTTGCAGGTCACGAGGTCCCCTATAAATCTTGTTATATTTTTGATCATAAAGTCTACCTCGAGCTTCACAATACACGAGGTCATTTTATCCTATTGTTTTATTGGCTTACCTGAAAAATGTACTCACGTTGGATATATTTCGCATGTTGGAGGATGCGAAGATTTAATACGCGGTTTACAGGACACGAAAGCGTCTGATATGGACAATTTGATGTTATTCTCTCAAATAATTTTCGGCTTAAATTGAATGGAAAATGTGTGCGACATTGGACTGTTTCTTTTTACATTATGCTGTACAAAGGATTTCCAAACGGCATATTTTGGTTTTTTCTGCCAAAAAAACTGTTTTTGGACACATTCAAAATATACTATGGACACTGGACAGGAACAGATTAATCATGAGTTGTGGGTTTTTAATATCTATACAGTTTTTAATATCAAATCATAAATAATAACAATATAATTGTAATGAATAGAATATATATATATAATAAAAATATAACATTTTATTGATTGCTATATTTTAAAATTTTAACTGTAGTTATTTTATATAAAAAAATTATGTTATTAATATGTCTATTTTAAAAATATATATTTAAATTCATCACTATTATAATTGTATATTAGATTAGGAACCACTTACATCCGGTGTAAATCTAAAAGTTTTACATTTTTTAGGACCGTCGGATTGAGAGAAACCAAAGGTTGAGATTAACTCATTATTTTTTGTCCATTGAAAATCTTCTTATTTCTTACTGTTAATCTCATCTATTGATTTCTTCTCATCCAACAATCTTAAAAATGTGTAAAATTTTTAATTTTACATTGTATGATTGAATCCTAACCCTTGTATAATATATATAATTTTGAATAATTTCCACATAAATCCCTAAAATAGATGAGAGAGAGAGAGAGAATGTGTAATTATCCCAAAAATCATATATTAATGGATTATGGTTTTGGATGGCCCCTTCAATTTGGGCTGCTATCGATGGTGGATTGAAACTGGGCTTAAAATGGAGATATTTTATTGTTGTCAAATCCCACAAGAATCTTCCAACAATCAATCGTAGACATCTATCTTTTGTCCTTATCCTCTTATCTCTAATCTTAGTCATTGTCTTTGTCTTTGGTAATAAAAAAAACACCTCTTTAGACGCGTTTTCCGCTGTTGGAAAATTCCCCGTGACCTCGTCGCTCTTTCTATATATACCCACGCTCCATCTACTTGCAAATACTTTTAAAATCTAATCTTTTTCTTTTGTGGATCTTAAAGCATCCATGTCTGATTGTAAACTTATGCCTCTCAAAGATTCTGCCTCTTCTTCTTCGACGGATTCTTCTTGTTCCTCCAGGCAAGCAAGGTGTTTCCCCACTGCGGTCAACGCCGGTGGGGTTTTCAAGGCTGCCGCCGCCAACAACGACCGGCTGAAGCAGGCTGAAGAGTCTCGCAGGACAGTCATGTACTTGAGTTGTTGGGGTCCTAACTAAGCCCCACTGTTGTAATAATTCTTACCTGTACATATGTCCATCAGGAAATACAAATATGCGGTCTGGAGGATCATAAAGTCATACTGTGTCTGCTCATATCATGTTTTCTATCTCTAATTTCATTATGTTTAACAAATGAAGAAGACATTTGACATAACTAAAAATGTTTCATATGATTAAGGTTACACCTCATGAATGACATGAATGACATACATACATTCGTGCTTATCCATTCTCTTATAAAGAAGTGTAAAATATACTCACAATTATGTTTTTAGTCAATATTTATTCAAATATAACTCTTAATTTTTTAACAATTAACACTCATACTCTTTATATACGAACTCGGTCTTTAAAGAATGTCAATAATTTTTTATCATGTACGCCACTTAGTTTTTGTATACTCAAAGTTATGTGTTTGATAATAAATGAATTATTTTAAAAAAAACAACATAAATAAATCATTTAATTAAAATATTTAAATACATAATTTAATATAATAATAATTTAATTTTTAAAACTTATATAATATATCAATTTAATCATAATTTAAAATAATTTAATAATTTTAATATTTCATATTTAAAAATTTTATCATTTTATACTTCCCCTTAAAATTAACCAGTGAACAAGACACTTGACCTCGCTAAGAATTCTTAGTATGATTAATATTACACCTCATGCATGACAAGTATTGTACATACATACATGGACAAATTAACATCATGGAACATATTTGAACCCAACCCATTGACTTAGAACCCATACACCAACAAGCCAATTTTGCCTCATCGGATAAAGCCTTGTTGTGATTGAAAAATTACAACCGGAAAGAAAGTATGATTTTACACCTACCTTGTACAACCCTTCATCAAACACCATTAGCATCCAATCCTAGAAATCTTCAAAAACTAGCCAAAATCCAGACCAGTTTTTCACCAGCCAACAACTTGTTCTTCACTGCAAAAAACCTTAATAAGAAGATGCAGCCCTTTCTCTTGAAGAAGCTGGTTTGGTCGAAATTTCAGGTTTAAGAACTCATAAAGATTGTTTTTCTTTTATATATAAATATAGAGTGAATACAAAATAGTATATGTTCAAAGATTCCATAATCTTTTGATAATGAAGATTTATCCCTTACATACGTGGTGTTCATACTCAAGACTTCAAGGAAATTCCCTTTATTTATAATGGGTACTCTTTATTCTTTTTGGTTTTTGTTGTATTTGATATGTTGTAGGTGATTAAGACCAAGACACCAACCTCATCAATGCTTAGAATTGGAAATCCAATTCCGCGTCATTCCCACTAATTATTTCTATTATTACATCCTTGATAACTTTCAAACACGCATATAATTGTTAATTAATCCATGTAATGAAAAAAAAAATCCTCCGAAGTAAAACCAAAATTGTTTAAAACACAATGCATATTACTGTCGATTGTTAATTATTGATTTTCCCTGTTGCAACAAAAAAAATTGTTTTGAAGAAAAAAATTCGAAAAGATCAATGATTTGGAGATTCGGTAAAGAACCTGCAGTCTGTGGAAGAAAATTATGGTAGCAAAGCATGGATATGAGCCTGATTCCCTGATTCCATCTCAGTTGACCCCGAATAAAATGTCATGGTTGTGGAGAAATGTTGTGAAGCCTTTATACAAGCCTGACGATTTGTTGTCAAAAAACTTGAAAGTTGTCCTTGGGGATGGTAAGTCGATTGACTTTTGGAATGACTTTTGGACCTGTTACCCGTCTCTAAGACTAGCATTTTCACGGATGTATGGTTTAGCTATTAAAAAAGGGGGAAGGTGGCAAAGTTTGACAGTAAGGTCAATGGAAGGTGGGCATGAGACAGAGATAAGGAGAACTCTTTTCTCGTGGGAATAAAGCTTATGAGATTTTTTTTATACGTACGTTAAATGAAGCGGAACAAGGTAGTGAAGACATGAATAGAGTGTGCTGGTCAGGATCTTCGAATGGTGAATATACCCCACGTGATTTTGGCTCAAATGCAGTCTATGTTGCGGACGAATGTGATAATTTCTGGAAGCTAGTGTGGTCAAATTTAGCACCACTGAAAGTTGAGATCCTTGTTTGGAGAGCAGTGTTACAAAGACTGCCAGTTCTCGAGGAATTGGTTAAGTGGGGAATCACAACCAGGGAGTCTAGTGTTTGTGTGATGAGTCAAAAGGAAGGAGAGACAGTCAATCACCTCGTTTGTCGATGCGAGGTAATTTGGAGAGTATAGATAAGATGGTTGTCGATATGGAACTTCCATTTTGTATTCCCAGGTGACGTATGATCCTTTTGATCCGCTTGGGATGGTCAGCCGATTATTAAATCATGTAAGCCTGTGTGGAATCTAGCTTTCTTTGGTTTGTTCTGGTCCATATGGTTATGTAGGAATGACATATTGTTCATCAAAAGCGTTTACAGTGAAGAAAAGTTGTTCGAGCTGGTCATTGCGAGGATCGGGTGTTGGTACAGTTGGAATTGACCAGGAAATTACCCTTCCATCAGTGATTTTAGAAGACTTCCCAATACTTCTTAGTCGGACGGTAAATAGCAGGATCTTAATGAGTAGAAGAAATTCTAGTAGGGCTTTGTTTGCGATGTGGGTAGAGTTGGGGTGGTGCAAGAGTTTCAAGTAAATTGTGTGTTCATGTCTTGCTATTTTCTAGAAAAAAAGGATGGGAGTGCGATGATTCATGATTTGGCTGGCAGATTGATGGAATGTGTTTTGGGTTTTGTTTATTTTTAATATTTTGTTTTACTTTGATGTTGGTTGCTCACTTTTGGATGTTGTGGAAATTGATAATGGTCGTGTTGTTGTAATAGTTAAAGGGTCCCAATTGTTTGATTCAAATCCAAGTGATGTGAAAAAAATATGTTGCACTATATTTTAATGTGAAGAAATTATCTTGAGATGTTCTGTGCACCTTGTTCTGTGATTGGTTGTATGAATGTTAGTTTGTTTGGTTATTGGGTCTTGTTTTGGAGTGGTGTAAGCGTGAAATTGATGGGTGATGGAGAAAAGATTGTCTGTTGTAGGTTGGCTCACTCTAAGGGATCTGGCTTGTAGTAACGTTTTGGTCCTCTGATGTGAGTAACAATTTCATGTAATAATTTCAGTGTTGTGCCAGTAAAGAATGGGATGGTGGTGCAAACAACCAGATGTTTGTGTTTTAGATAATAAGCTTTTTCGATTGCTGGTGCAGCTCACTGTGGAATGGGGTTTTGGTTTCTAATTGTTTCTTGATGCGTGTGTATTGTACAGATTTGTAACACCCTAATCCAGTTCGACCTGAATATCGAAGGATTAAAGTGTCATATGGGACCATCGAAGTAGCTAACTTAAATTTTCTTTTTTTTTAAATGACTATAACCATTATAAAGTAATCATCCATATTGATAAAATAAAACATAATAAATTTGTGTTGACAAATACATGGGAGCTCCAAATATCCAAAATAATAACAATATTGAGTTTTATACAAAAATAGAGTTACGACTTAATACAAAAAGAGTCTACAGTAATGCATGCCCTCTAATACAAATCAAAACATACTCTGAAGCCTTGACTGATCTGAAAAGTCTGATGATGTTAATGCTCCACGGATAGTTTCCTAAGAATCTGCGTAGGAAAACACATTTCGAACACTGAGCTTACAACACGGAGCTCACACCCCTCTAGCCTTCCTAAAATACCCTTGGGTATTTGGGATGAGATCTAGAATTGCATCACGAAAGGAAAACCCGAACAACTTACTCCATAGAGTCTTGGGGTATCTACGCCTAGCTAGCAATTGAAGTACCTTGACATTGATTAGGATATATATGAACTTACAATCGTTATCTGCTAAAGTAACTTGGGTGTCTTGACTGTTTTTCGAGCATCAAACAAGGCTAGTTTTACGTGATCCTAATTGTTATTGTTTCTAACTATTCTGCGTTTATATTGTTCTCACTTGTAGTTTTATTTCATCATGTTTTGGGTATTATTGGGTCCCTCAAAACTATCCCTTAAAACCACTGAGTTTCTTACCCAAAATTGTTCGTATGTACCGACGATAATGAGCCATTATAGTATCGATATTGACCTCTTAGTATCGATATTATCTTCTGGGTATCGATATCAACTAGCCATTGGGACCTAAGAGAAAAGTGGTAGTATCGATACTCTAGCTTGAGTATTGATACTTCTAAAATGTGGTATTGATACTATTATGAGTAACAATACCAAATTTTGCTTCGATGTTTTGAAAAATACCTTAGTATCGATATTCTTATTAGGAGTATCGATATTCTACCCCAGTATTGATACTCTCATGAGTATCAATACTAAAATTGCCTATTAGAATCTGTTAAGTGTGCTCTGTATCGATACCACCCTGCGAGTATCGAAAACTGACCAACAATATCAATACTCTATAGATGAGTATAGACACTTCCTTCTCAAAACTCTCTTATTTTAAACTAGTTGATGAATAGTATCGATATTGTTCTTCCAATACAGATATTCGAACCTAGAAATGCCCTATTTTGGGCACAAAAATGCCTCTCTAACTCTCCCAAGAGTCCTACTAAGGTTCTTAAACATTATTAGAGTTTTATTTAAGGAAGTAAGGGTCATAATAGGTCTATAAACAAGTTGGAAAACGTCAATTGTTGAATCTACCATGAATATGCTTCATAACTTATGCAACCTATGAAAACATATCTAATGTGTTACATTTGGTAAAGTTGAGTTAGAAGTGAGTTACCTTGGATTTCTATATTGTTGGAAACACCCAAAGTTCAACTAATAACTAGCTTCTCTTTTTCCCTTGTACTTGGAGCTTTTTCCAATCTTTCGCACTAGACAAGAATCAAGCATATGAATTACTAATGTGTTTAAGAGCTTAAAAGGGTGTTAAAAACACTTCCTAAGGCTTGAGTTCCTTAAAAACGAGTTAATTTACTATGGGTTTCTAAATCCCCACTAAAACCCTTATTTTGGATACCATGATGGAATGAAGAGATTGAGGGTTTGAATTGAAGCCTTGGAGGTGGAGGTTATGATTTTTACCTTTGAAGATTTCAAATGGAAGGAAGAATGATAGAAAGATGAAGGAAAAAGATGACAAAATGGATGAGAAAAAGAGGAATCAACGGGTGACCTCACCAATATTTAAAGAATTCAGTCTTTCATAACAAAATTGGGTAAACTACTCCCTTGATCCTTCAAGTTTTGGTCTTACTTCAAAAATCCCCTTTTTAACTCTAAATGGGCTTAGTCCAAGCCCAAATTCCATCCAAACTTAGGTCAAGGTTTCCTACATGCTAAGAGATTTATTTCAATGCCCTCTCCGATTAGCCCAAAACTCTTAACCTAGGATTTGAGGCGTTACAAGATTGGCTTGGGCTTGTTGATGTCCCTGTTTTGGAGGGTTGCTAATGGCTTGTCTTGGTCTGTGATGGCCGTTTTTTGTAGCAAGTGTAGGTTGGATGCTTTAATGGGTCCTGGAATCAAAGTTGATATTGCTAAAGACCTGGTGGTGTTCTACTTTGTGCGCTCAAGGTTGGTTGATGGGGTTGTTGATTGGTGTATGTTATGATTTTCCTTTTAATTATGATGTGTTTTGAAAGCAAGGTTGGGGCAAAGAGATCTACTTCGTGTGGTTCTTTATCAGTGTGTGGTGTGGCCATTGATGGCTAGCCTATGGTGTATTTTGTCTAGGAGGAATCCTGGAAAACTATTCCCAGAGGCAACATCGGTTTTGTCTGGTAAAAGGATGAGGATGATTATTTCGCCTGATTTTGTTTTTCTCTGGACTGACGTTCGAAGTATAGTTCGTTCCTGAGACGATGTTGCTTGGTCTGGTTGCTGGTAATTGCCTTGGGTTCTGGTGTTCTTTTACAGCTACGATTATTTTCTGATTTGTGTTGTAGCTAAGATATGTATAATGCGATCGCTAGTAGATGCTCGGGATTGTGTCCGGTAATCTGGACTGATGGTTTCTAGTGCTGCAATGTCTATATATTTTCTGGTTTACTTCTGAAATGATTCGGGGGTCCTTGGTTGGATGGATTGGATACGTGTACGAGGTACATCTGTTTTATAGTCTATATGGGTGGTGAGTGCCTCATACTGTTACAAAGTTTTGCTATAACTGGACCATAATGTGCAAATCTTTACATGTGTGGAGTCTGGCATTTTGTAATACTGAAGATGGGTTCGCGATCTAGCTCGAGTATTCTGTGGTCAGCGCATAAGTGGGGTATTGGTGGGTTATAATTTTATGAGAATTGTAATAGAGGCTAGCGTGTGTTAAACAAATATTAACTCGGACTGTTTTCGGGTACGAAGACTAGGGATGGACATGGGACTCGAACTCGATCCGACCCGATCAGGTCGGATTTTTAAAAAAAAATCGGCTTCGGGTCGGGTTTTTAAGTGTGATGCTCGGGTCGGGTTCAGGTTTAGGGTGAAAAATATACGACCCGAAAAAATATATAATTTACCCTATATATTTAGGAATAATTACAATAATACTCATCCATATATAATTTTTTTCAATTAATTCATTGTTTTTATTGAATAAAAATAATATTATTATTATTATTTTGGGTCAGGTCGACTTACTAAGTTATATATCGGGTCGGGTGAAATCTTATTTTGGTCTGGTCGGATCGAGTCTCCGGTGGAAGATCCATTGTTCTCGGGTCGGGTTGGGTAGACCAAAAACCCGACTCGTGCTCATCTCTAACGAAGACCCATTCGAACATTGACTTAAGACATTCTTTTTCTTCTATTTAAATTTAGGGAAATCTTTAAACGATGTTTTAGTCTAACTTATTTCGAATATGTATACTTTGGAATACATTACAAAACTCTTTTTTTTTTAAAAAAAAAAGAGAGGAAAAGATCAATGATTTATAACCCCATCTATTTAGGTTTGGTAAGGGGACACGACAAGTCAATTTTTAGACAGTTTCCGAATTTAATCCAATATATTAATAAAATTTTATCGATTCCTAACTTGATCTGATGTGTGAAAGCATTCTATCCATTTTGATTTTATGGGTGAAATTTTGTTCTAATTCGTTTCTTTTATTTTTTAATTCAACAAAATAAAAAAATTGAAATTAAAACCGGTGTTAAATTTAACATTATTGTTTAATATATGTACTATATTTCTAGTTCAATTATTTTTCGTAAAATTCAACTGATTCTTTTATTTTTTTTAATTCTGAAACTATTATATCAACTGAAATTAGAGATATAAAATCAGGTAATCGTTTAGGTTTTAGTTAAATCCTTTCTTGCCATGTAAAATCGGATACATATCGTGTCAGGTCATTTTGATGGTTGGACTTAGATCAGGTCGAGTTCATGTCAAATCAGTTTAGGTCATTTTCATGTTGATTTGACATCAGATTCAGTTCGGGTTCAAGTCGGATTAATTTCAGTTCGGATCGATGTCAGTTTAAGTCAAAACGGTTTAGGTACGGAACAGTTAAACATCAGGTTAATTCAGATTCGGATGGACTTCAGTCAGATCTCGTTCAGACGGGTCACATCATTGGCAGATAAAATTTAGGTCGGATCTTTACCGGATACGGATTGACTTCAGGTCGGGTCATTTTTTATTTTTAGATTAATTATTTTTCGTCTTTCGTGAACGTTGAATTGTAATTTGTAATTGTATATGATTGAGAGTAAATTACTAAAAATATAAATATTTGTGGATCAATTTTGATAAAAAATATAATTTTAAAGATTAAATTGAACCAATATGAAATTACAAATAAAAAATTAAATAAATTAAACAACACACATTGATGAGGGACAAAATTGAAATAATTTTAAAATGTGAGGTTGAAATTAATATAAAAAGTAATAAATTATACCCTTTTAAAAAGTTATGAGACAATTACAAAAATATAAATAAGTAATAAGTATGGGCCAATTTCATATGCAATTATAATTTTAAGGACTAAATGAATAAAAATGAAATTACAAATAAAAATTTAAATTTAAATAAATTAAACAACACAGAGGGATCAAATTGAAATAATTGTAAAATGTGAAAAAAATATGTAAAATAGACTAAATTGCATTCATTTCAAAATTGAGAAAAAAATTGAAACAATTATAATATATAATATATATATAAACTATATAATAATATAATATGTATAAACTATATAATTTATACATAATATATATACATAGTAATATATAAATATAACTATATAGTTTATGTTAATAAACTATATAATTTATATTAATAAACTATATAGTTATATATATATATATATATATATATATAATTTATATATAATATGTAATAATATATATATATATATATATATAAACTATATAGTTTTAATATATATAATATATAAAATTTATATATAAACTATATAGTTTATATTTATATATATACTATGTATAATTATAAATTATATACACTATATATAAATTATATAGTTTATTGAAGTAAACACAATAAAAAAATTACCATAAAAGGGAATAATTAAGAAAGAATTATTCATAAATTCATTCAAATGTGCTTGCTGTAAATGTAAAAATAGTAGCATCCTATAAAAGCAAAAAAAAATCATTTAATTGATAATTTAAATGAAATAAACATAAATTTTCATAAATTGCAGTAAGCATATAAATGAATGTTTTACCATTGTTTTAACTTTTGTAGGTTTGGTAAAATCAGAAATGTTTGGCAGTGTTGTCCATCGTATTCCCTTGGCTTTACTATTAATTGGATTGGTATGAATACTGACTAGACTTGGTCTGAATACTAATTGGAATTCGTCTGAATGCTAATTAGAAATTGTTTGAATGCTTATTAGTTTTGGTCTAAATGATGAATTGATGTTTGTTGGCTGATTGTTGCCTTGTAAATTGTTGTTGTTAATATGATAGAACTGAATTGTTGTAAATTCTTATCTAATTAGTTACCGATGGTTAAATTATGTTTGTGTTATTTTGGCTTTTAAACTAAAATGATGCTCATAATTTAATCATGTTGGCAACATTTATATATTTTGAGATAAACAAAAGCTCGATGAAAAAATTTCTAGTAGCAAAGTCGGGTTTTCAACCTTGTAAAACTTTTGCTATAAGATATGAGAGCCTAAATTTCAACGTAAATTTATTTACTTCATTTAATTATAATTGTGATGTATTGAATTGTAATAAATTTAATTTGTACATTTATACATTTTGTTAGTTTCAATATTTATAAAATTATTAAATTTTTAATCTCATATTCTAATATTATCAATAATTAGAATCATGTTTAATATATAAATTAAAAAAATTAAGATAAATTATATTTAAGCTATTAATTATTACATAAAAATGATTCATGAATCATTTAATAAAATTAATTTAATAGCCATAATTATTTTTTTAATATTATGATCCTAATAAATATATAAAGTCAATTTAGTAATTTAAAGTAAATTTAGTAATATAATGATGATAATTACTAATTTATTTTACATTTATTATTAATACCAGCTCGTTAATTTAATAAATTTTTTGAATATATTTATAGGCTACAATTTATAAGTATAAAAAGTAAATACATCAATTAAATTATCATAATTAATCATGCATTATAAATTGTGAAAGAAATATTATGTCTAACTTTATCAATTATAACTTACAAGTCAGGTAAATATCAATTCAGTTTAATAACAGGTCGGATCATTTATAATTTGAGTCAGTTATAGATTAGGTTTATAACATGTCAGGTTGATAACAGATAAGGTAATATCAGTTATTTGTCGGGTTATTTTTGGGTTCAGGTTCATGACATGTCGTATGTAAGTCGGGTTCGGTTGTCGCATTATCAGGTCGGATGCAGGTCGAGTTCGGTTGTGACATTATCAGGTCGAATT